GATATAATTGAGGATTTAAGTAAATCTGGGATATATGCTTCCTTAATGGACTGATTGTAAATATCCTGAATGACCGGAGAAAGCTGCGTAGCAAATTCCTTTAATACTTTTTTTGGGAGTTCGTCCGGTCCAACAGATTTGGCTACTTGTAGAGATGACAATGATCGATAAACGTCTGCTTCAGACACAAGGAACTCGTTTGGGACATGCTGAGTTGGATAAAGAGGCCATAACGGTGAAAAGTTCTCAGTTATGCTCAAGAAGAAGTCATTGACTCTATCTGCGAGTATCTTAATATTCCCATTGTCACCAAGAAATTGATAATGCCACTCCTGTTGAATGTCTTGTCCCATAAGACTTTTTATTTGTTTTCACCATTTCCGGGTGTTAGTCTGTCCCAGTTCTGCAACTTTATGTTTATAATAATGTGACTTGGCCGCTTTAATTTCCCTTTGAATTTTATTCCTCCAGTGTTTATATATGGACGAGTTTTTACCATGTCTTTGGAATGCGGTTTGGCGTTTTCGGATCCATATCTTGAGTTTATTTGTCACCCATGGGCGATCTGTTTGGTGAACGTTTACTGTCCTTTGTGAGAGATAGCAATCGACACCTTGATTTAACTCTGTGATGAATAGTTAGAACTTATCTTCACAGGAGGAAGTTTTAAGGACTGGGTTCCAATCTTTCTGGGTTATCCATCGACCAAGCTCACGCCAGGCACTATCCCTCATATCACAAGAAATAATTTTTTTAGTCACTTTGTTCTTCTTAGGTCCTAGAAGTGGTTTCGCCAGTATTGTGAAATGATCGGAGGATGCAATTTTAGGTAACTGATACAATTCAAATAACCTAGTCCGATTTAATTGTCAGGAATCAATCCAGGATACCAGAATATTCCCCTTGTCTTGAAAGTGACAAGTTGTTTGAGATGATTTGTTTGAGTCAAATCTTTCGATTTCAATCCGGTTGACGTTGGATTAAAGTCGCCAGTAAGTATTACAAGCGTATTTGGCTGATTAGCTAATAGGTTGTCAAGGTTACGTTGAATATGTTGTCGGAGAATAATATTCTCAGATTCGCGATTAGATGTCGTATGGTATATTACTGACAGTATTATGGATGTTATATTCCTTGATAAACAGTAGGGTCTCATTGAAATCCATATAGATTCAACTCCATCTTCGTTACATTGCTCTAACCTCTTACAGGGAATTGTATTATTTAGATAAATGCACACTCCTCCTCCTGTTGTATTCACTCGATCTTTCCGAAGTAGATTGTATCCTGGGATAACGACAGAGGAATCTGGCACATTTGGAGACAACCATGTCTCAGTTATACATATGGCATTGACATTATTAAGTTCAGCAACTTGTTGAATCTCGTCAACTTTCTTTGCGATTCTCCTAACATTTGCTGATAGAACAGTTGGTATGTGTATGATTTACGATAAGAGACCTTTCTTAGTGCTCTATGATTAGTCACTGTATTTCTTAGAGGATTGACTTCCTGACTTAAAGTTGATGGAGGAATGGGGGTTTGCATGGGATTTCCATTAGATAGCATTAGGGAAGGAACGAACGTATGTTGGGAACCCGGCAAGTGTTTAACAGGAATTGTTGTTGTTGTTGTTGTTGTTGTTGTTGTTGTTGTTGTTGTTGTTGTTGTCGTTGTCGTTGTCGTTGTCGTTGCCGTTGTCGTTGTCGTTGTCGTTGTCGTTGTCGTTGTCGTTGTCGTTGTCGTTGTCGTTGTCGTTGTCGTTGTTGTTGTTGTTGTTGTTGTTGTTGAACCCGAATAAACGTACGATTAGAAGGCTTGGGTACATTAGTTTGGATTAATGGTAAACTACAAATCCACTCAGGGGTTAGATTCCTCCAAAAATCCTCACTATGCATTGTGTCCGATGACATGTATGGAATATGTCTCTGCTCAATTACATGATTGACTTCTTTTGTGCTTTCTTTACTATTCACCATAATAGAGACCTCATGCATGGTTGCCTTCGCAGTTTAGGCAACCTTCAGGATTATTAACCAAACTTTGAGTACGATTACCATATTTTTGCATTTGTTTTTGTTTGGTCCCTTGATTAATGAGGTCTAGACTTTGGTGATCGCATTGTTCACTGTTCCAGTTACCCATATCACTACAATGGTTTGATGACTTTAGCATTTTTAAGCCAACAATTTCATGTTTAAGGGCCAATTTGACGCTTCAATTAGTCCATTCTTTTTGTTAAGAGTGTCAATAATATTATTTAATTCATTTACCTCGGAATTTCGTCCTCTGACTAAGATAGCAATGTCTGCTTCTAAACGCTGAATTTTGTCATTTTGAAGATGCTCTGTGGGAATATCTTCCCTATTCTGTGTGGATTCAGTAAACGATTCGCCCAAATCAGCGGGCTTAGAGATAAGACTGGCCATCTCGTTGTGTAATTTTTCAAGTGCGTCCGATTGTTAGTTATTAAATTTAGCTTCTAAAATTACGATATCTAACTTTACACCTTCCATTTCCACCCCGGTACAGTGGCATTTATCAGACGAAACTCCAATGTTATCGGAGCACTGTTCTGCGAACGAACTATCGATAAAAATTAAAAGACACCGAATAACTTTACTTGCATCTGGACCGTCAACAGCTAAAATAACATCACTGCTTGAGAATAACTTTAAAATTTTCTCTCCGCCAGGCGAAGACCATGTCCCGACAATGTTTAACGACTCTTTAACAAACCGTTTGAGTGATTCAAAGTCTCCTGACTACGAAATCTTTAACTCAGCGATCGAGCTTCGTTGCATGATTGTTATTTGAGCAGTCTTGATTTATCAGCTTTCTCCCCGCTATTTGTATATATTGATGATATACTTATCGACACGCAGCGAGGGAGATTTGGCGAAATATTCAGCCGAAGTGATGATATTTCCAGGTGCTTTGCCCCGAGGGACATATCATCACTGAAGGTAATACTTCGACGAATCCCTCGAGCAGTGGGCCTATAAATGATATATTATACCCATGGGCGTACCGGAAGGAAAAAATTAGGGGGCGAAAGTTTTTCGGGACATCTAACAAATTTTCCAGACATTACAAAATTGACAGAATTTCCCACAAAATTGACAGAATTTGTCCCATTTTTTTTATAATACGCCAATATTGCCCGACTGTGAAGCGAATATTGCCCGACTGGCTTTGTTTGCCCAACAAACTTGGGGGCTGCCGCCCCGCCCCCCCCGCCCGGTACGCCCATGATTATACCCAAGTTAAAGAACCCACTAAGGTGAGATTAAACTTTAAAACTTGCTGAATAAGTAAGCGAATACAATGTTTAATTTCTTATTTATACCCGAGTTTTTGACGTTTTCTCTTTAAAATATTTGATTCTGTATCCTTTGGATCATTGAAGGTGACATACCTCTTGAAAACCTTTAGTTAATTAAATCAATAAGTCTTTACTACGAAATTACAGACAACAGCTCACAAACGCCATATTGTTTCAGCGCGTGTTGTCCACGCGTCATATCTCACGGTAGATCGACCGTGAGATATTATAATTTATTATATATAGTAGAGAGTGAGATACTGAAAAATACAAAGTGAGATATTTTCCATATCTTCACTAGTGAAGATATCGATCACGTGACTTTTTCCAATTTGCTTTTGAGCGTGAAATTTCACAATTTTTTGCTTGGGACTATATAATAAACAGAACATTACACGGTGGCTTGAAGATATTACTTTTATCTTCTCGTGTTAAAAACAATATTTTACTCACTCGCTGCGCTCGTTCGTAAAATATTGTTTTCACCACTCGAAGATAAAAGTCGTATCTTCGCGCCGCCGTGCAATATCCTCTATATCTCACGCTGCATCGCGAAATCATGAATTGGAATGAAATACCGTAAAATCACATTGTCACGTGGTACAAATGCTGGGTTTTTATTGAACAATTTGAATTTGAGGTATAATATAACAACAAAAAAAACATATCTACTGTAAATAATTATATAACCTTCAAAAACTCATTAATGAATGATTCATGAAGAAAACACAAAGAGAAATCATAAGCGTGTCGTATCTTTATGTGTGATAGAGATTTCCCTTGATTTACATAAACTTTAATTTTGATTCTCTCGACTTATACAACGTATTTTTTGAAAATTACTTCGCCAATGAACTTACTAGATCGATCGTTCTTCAAGCAATTTAAAACATTCGCAGTGCGTGTTTTATCAGACCTATAAAGATCGTCACTTATCAATTTTTACTGCATTTCTCGGCAAAAATGGACGGTCTAAAATATATCAGATCACTTCGAAAATAACAGACGGAATACTTGATGATGTGAAGTTTACGAGGGAAGTGAGGCAAATTTGACAAGAAATGAAACGGGTCGTAAAATTTTGAACGAAACTCGGCTTCGCCTCGTATCTTTATATCTAATAAAACACTGCTGCTCATGTTCTAAATTTGTGCTTTTGGACGACATCTTAGTTATTGTTACTAAAAAATCTAAAACCTTAGTTAAAACATTAAAATCCTACTTTTACAAATAAAAAATGGCGTTCTATATTAATTTCGCTGCATGTTATTACAGCCTAAGAGACTTTCATATATCATGTTTTAAATAGTACTTAAAAAACTCATTAATAATTCATGAAGAAAATTCAAAAGAAATGAATGTGTTAATCAATGTTTGTAAATCGGATAAAGAATTGTCCTGATTTACATGAACTTCGGCTTAGATTTTCTCGGCTTAGATAATTTATTTTTAAAATTACTTCGCCAATGGACTCATAAGTGATGGGTCGTTTTTAAGTACGATAAAACATGAGCATCCGATATTTATCTGATATCAGTACAAACTTTCGCCTTCAGCTTGAGTTTGTATATACAAGATAAAGATCGGTTGCTCATGTTCTTTCTAGTCCGCAATTCACGCTTTGGCAGCTGTCGCAAGTCGTGCATTCATTTGTGTTATCTTTAATGTTAGCACATTACAGTACTTTGCGTACGGTACTTACGCATATTGAAAGTTGTCAGTTAATTATGCCAAATTATGTAGAACACGGCGAGTTTTTTAGCCTGTTAATTATGTAGAACATGGCGAGTTTTTTAGCCTGCTAATACAGCAGCCAGACTGTCTCGTTGCTCGACCAGACGAGACAATCGGGCAGCTGGTTTCGCAAGTTTTTATCTTGGCAAATCGTGTATATTTTGAGATTTATTTTAGATTGTCCCATGGTCACTTTTGCCATTCGATATATTGCAGCAATTATCCTACAAATTTCTTAAATTTGTTTCTAGCATACATGTAGCTATAACCGGGCAAACTACACGTTTACGGACACATTGTTTTCAAGCAAGTCTACAAGTTCTTGAATTTGATCTCAAAAAAGTTTTCTTCCTGAGTGAGATAAAATTTTTGCATAACAATCAGTCATTTCCAAGGGTGGGAAAAATTTTGTGGAAATTTCGATTTTTTATTTTTTTCCCCGCAATCGATTGTTTCCGTGTTTCCCCAAGATTTAGATTGATTTTTACATTGATTAATTCAGGTGGTAAAATGACATTACTTGTACTCAACTCTATGTACTGGGATTGGAAGACCTGGAAACCGGATGCCTATTTCCAAGAAAGAGCAGAGAAACAAATAAAGTGGCTGGAGGAGCAGTTGCAACTGGCAAAGTCAAAGAACAAGAGAGTTATTTTAACCAGCCATATTCCCCCTGGGTAAGAGATGCGGGCCGGAGGAACGAATCGCTATGGCCAAAGTGTTATCTAGAAGCATGGCATTATATATAATCTCCCTCAAGAACATTTCCAGCTTATTAGCCGATGACGCAAATATGTTGAGAATGTGAAAACCTGCTCACAGGAAACCCACTATGTTCTATTATATCAATACAACATGCACATAACCTGCATACAAACTTACGCACAGTATCAAAGCGTTCAGTGTTACTAAATAAAAGGAAACTTGCCTTCTCTCCCCTCTTGTGGGGGTAAGAAGAAAGAGCCTGGGAAGAGGTTGAGAGAAAACACGCGTTGGAATCTGCATACAGTTATATCAAAGCCGTTAGTGCAAAACACCCAATGCAAGAAAACACGCGAGGCAGAAATGGCAAGTGTTGAAACTCCGGCGCTTATCTGATTAACATGTTCCATGAGAAGCTTGAGCATCTATAATTGTCATCGGAGGGCATCTGATATATGGCAAGCACCGCTAAAACTGCTAGTAACATTAGTATAACAGTCTTTTATTTCGAGTGAAAGTATACTTACATTTTTGGAATTTCTAACTGCAATCAACAGTATTTAGGACAATTAAAACTGCCCATGCAAGCTACTTATTAAATAACATAAGTCACATAACAAACACATAACAGGTGACTGAAGTCAGCAGGAATATCGTTTAAAATGTACCCATTTTTCATCGAGTATTCGGGTACAAGTACCATTACTTGTTTAAAGAACATTGAAAAAGTGATAAAATCCAGAACAAGGTCAGAATCGCCTATATTTTTGAAAATTGGACAACAACATGCTGAAGTTTCAACCCTTTTCTCCCGGAGTTTCAACCGTTTCCTCTCTCGCCTGTATTCTCCCACCGCATGTTTTTTTACGCTCACCGCTTCGATACAACTGTATGAGATTGCAACGCGTGTGTATTTTTTGCACTGGCTGCTTTTATATAGATGCATTGAATATTTGTGTTAGTATGTTGGTAATCGGGCTGTGATCTGCCTTCCGATTTTATAGATCATCCCAGGTGAAGACACTATAGTCAGGAATGTCGAAACGTTTTGTCGTTAATGCAATGGGGATTGCATTTATTTATTTGAATTAAGGAAGCGAGCGAAAAAACTAACCGTTTCGTTTAACTACCCGTTTCGTAGTTAAACTGTGGTTACACCTAAAATGCACGATTCTGGTTGGTAGTTAACTTTACTAGGCTATATACAACCGTCTACAGTACTTTTAGCATATACAGGTACGTGTTCATCTTGTGTGTTATGGCCTTACCAGTTACCATTTTTCTTCATGTCTTAGTATTGATACCTATGTAGAGAAGACATTGTGGTTAAGCAACTTCACGGATCTATACATGGATATTGTCACAAACAAATTCAGTGAAGTTGTTGCAGGTTTGTATATTAAATTTATGTGTTTTGTGTAAACGACCTTGGTTATAACTCAGTCTCGTGGTTCCTTCCTGTTAGAAGTTCAGTGCATGTGTTTTTCAGGCTAACCACTCAGCTAAAATATCTACCATCGTATTTGTGCTGGGGTAAACAGTAAAACATGTGAAATGACCAAAGACGATAGCAGCACCCAACCCTACCTAAAGTACAGTACTGTAACAGTAGGTCGGGTTATCCCTGCCCAACATATTATTTACCTTTAAATTTTGATAATTTTTAGG